CCTGTCCGCCCCGGTAGTCACCTGTCTCGGCAGTGTCAAAAGGCCCCCTCGAAGCAGGTGTCGTCCCCGGCCTCTTTGAAACTTATTTTTTTCAAGTTCTTAGGAAGAAGGATACACAAAGCCATTGCTTTTCTGAAGACAAGAGTGTGTGTGTTGGGGGGGGGGGGGGGGGGGGGTTTGTTAAGCTTTTAATCTAAGTGACCAATTGCTGTCCTCTGCAGGCATGCCACTCACAAGTCAGCTTCCTTTTGTTCGTAGCATGACCATGGTGGGGTTTTTTTCCTGGCCTTCTCCCCCGTCCCCACTATCTGGGTGTTGGCACTCTCTTGATCGAGAGACTAGTCCTCCCAAGAAGCAGCGTTCCCCCTGAGAGGTACTGGATTTTCCCATCTCTTTGAGGTGAACGGGGCTGAAGGTCAAAGTTACTGCAAAGTCAGCACGTGCGAGCTAATCCAAACCATGTTGTTCGTTGTCGTGTCCCTTCTGAATTGCCATCTGAGTACCTGCTGGCCCAGGAAATCTACATCTTTGACTGACTAACTCTTTGTATTTGACCCATTTAATCAGATTTTTCCTCAATTTCAAGGTTCGAAATACAAGAAGGAAGTTGCAGTAGTAGAAGACCTTGTATTTCATGTTGAGAAGTGATTTGCACACCAAATCAGATTCAGGAGTGCATGCAGAGATACCTGCAGGAAGCCTACCGACAGAGCTGTAATTTATGTCTTGGGTCTCTAATAAATTAATTTAAAAAAATCTTTGTCTATAATTGTAAGTTTGATTATGGGACATTTGCTTTCTGAGGATTCCAGTTGAGTGACCCACTTGAACTGCGAGGCTGCTACTAGTATTTTGAGTCAGTATAAAAGTATTTCGAAGAAACTACATTTTCATCCTGCTTTCAAGGTGCCTGTTTTTGTGTCCGTTTCTTTTCTTTTCAGTATAAAACCACTTTCTAGCATAATGGGGCACCTAGGCAGACTTCTCCAAACACTTGAAAGGGCATACATGCCTGAATGCAGACTTTCTTAGGCTGAGCAAAGTTACTAGATGGGTAATTCGCAGCATTTAGCTATTGCTTACTGAACAGAAATTCAGGTTACTCATCTTAGGATATGTGCCTTAGTAATTCTTACAATTATTTTCATGGTGCTTTCTTTACAGTACTTAATTTGAAAAGGCAAATGGAAAGCTTGGAGTTCTTTTGGATTCCTAGCTACATGACGCTGTTGGAAAATGGAGCGTTTCTAGCAGACTTCTTAGAATTTCTGGCAGTGTTATCACATAGTAAATATTTTTATAATGGAGGGCCATTTCATGGGCAAATAAGCCAGAACTGAGATTTGCTCTTTTTTTGTAAAATCTGTAAAAGTATAAAATATTGCAGTTTTTTTGCATGCTGAAGTTACAACAGAAATGAGGCATGTTAGGTACAAACAGTCCTTTCTAACTGGAATTGTTCAGTTAATAAACGAAAACTCAGTACAGTATGTCATGGTTAATTTCATATTTTGCAGGTGGTTATGGTGCAACTGCATTAAATATGAAGCGGGATCCCCTGAAACTCAAAAGCGCGGACACTGAATTTCCACTAACACTTGGTCGAGATGTCTCTGGTGTTGTTATGGAATGTGGACTGAGTGTGTCTTATTTCAAACCTGGAGATGAGGTGATGCCACCAATCTCTCTTTTTCTAAAATGTGTAGTTAAAATATACTATGAGATGTTCAGCTTTCTTTTTCCGCTTAGGAAAATTTTTTTTTATGTTGTTGCACTCTGAATGAGGACTATCTAGCAGTAAATTCCTAGAATGCTTTCTTCCCTACTTTTTTTCTCTGAAAAACATGGTCTTTCGCAGACTTGCTTCTGCAAGTTAATTTCCCTTCTGTTTTTTAATTTTTGGTCCATTTCAGTGGTAACGAGAAGAATTGTATTTATTTATAAGTGCACACTCAAGACGCTGCTTCATTTTTGACTGAAGATAGAATTCTAATAGGAAAGGATTAGTTCTTTTTTTTCTTGAGTAACTTACTTAGGATAGGAACTCTGGCATAATGCAAGAACGACTTCGTGAGTCCCCACATAAATAGTGGTATTGTTTGCTTTCACCTTCACTAGTTGTTCACATTTCACCAGTTTTAGTATAGCAAATTCTGATTCCTCCCTGCCCCATCCCCTCCAGCCTGGGCTTTCCTGGCATGGAAGTAGTTTGGGTTTTTTGAAAAATTATGTCTTATGCACAGTATAGTACAATTTATTTACATAGCTCTGCAGTCCTTAATTTAGTCAGTCTTGCGATGTTTTTTTGTGTAAAGAGTAAGCTAAACTGGTTTCTGATAAGCAACAGTGAAGACATTCTGCAAATTGGAAAAAAGGTTTCTTTAATGAAGAAAACTGCTGTGTAGGTACAATCATGTGCAAAGTCACAAAAATTGATGGTTGTTTTCTGTTTGGTTTTAGGTGTGGGCAGCAATTCCTCCATGGAAACAGGGCACTCTGTCAGAGTTTGTGGTAGCTAGTGGAAACGAGGTAAACCTTCAAAAATGTGGCTAACAGACAAAATCCCAAAATTGTAAAGACTGGCATTTTTTTTTTTCTTCGGTGGCTAAGTAACTGTCTGTTTCTTGGTGCTTGGATTGATTTAGACTCCAGCTAATTATGAAGATAGTTGAAAATGTGGAATACACAATCTGCAATTCAGTAAACCTTGTTTAAATATTTCAGTGTCACGTAGGATCTGCTGTGTGGCTTAGATACGATTGATTTTATTTCAGGTGTCTTTTAAGCCAAAGTGTCTCAGTCACACAGAAGCTGCCTCCTTACCATATGTAGGTCTCACAGCCTGGTCTGCAGTTAACCAAGTTGGAGGACTGAACCGAAGTAATTGTAGTGGGAAAAGGTACGTAAATAGTTCTGGTGCTAAAACTTAGTGTTTCATTTTTATACTGATTAGCTGCTTCTAAGACATGTCCAACAGTGATGAAGACTGTTATACCATGACATTCACAAAGACCAGCTGGCCTGAAGGTGCTAGATTCAATCTACACAATTGCTGAGAGAGAGGCTTCTTTAGAGGGAGACTCAGACGAGGACCCTAACTGAAGTGTACCTAGTCACTTGCTGCTCGCTTCCTCTATATAGTGACTATATAGTGACTATAGTCCATTGTATATCTAATGTGTAGGACTATATAGAGAATTTAAGGATGGTATTTCTAGGAATCTATAGGGACTTTGTCTTTCTGCCTGCTAGGACAGCTATACAAATGTAATATCCTCTCTCTGAGTTATTTTGGCAACTCACAAAAAGCCCTCTCAACTACAGAGGTGTGGTTCACTCAGTTCCTGCATGCGTGGGCCATTTGGAACAGACTGGTTTTCCAGCTTTTTAGGAAAAAATGAGCAGGTGACTGGGTCTCATTTGACCTGTAGGCTAGAACTTTGATGAGGTCAGGCATGCAGAAGAGACGAGGAAAACCTGCAAGATGGGCAGCCAAATGAAATAGAAAAATTGGCTTTTTTTATCAGCCTGTTAATCTGACAATGACAGATGAAGGACAGAAGAGGACAAATGCATTGAAAGATTGGAGCAGATACCGTTTTTCTCCTGATAATTGAAATTTGCAGTTACTTTGGCCTTTGGATGTTTGTGTAAATAGATAGCAAAATGTTCAGAATGGAAAGAAGGGCAAAAGTAAAACGGCTGGAATTGAAAAATAATCATTAAAATTACTATGCTGCACCAAAAATGTAGGTCATAAAGTAATATTGGGCAGTAGGACTCTAGATGCTTGACCTCCTCTTATCTTGGGTGTTACTGTTGTAAAGCAACACATTGCAAAGGACATTAGATTTATTGAAATTCTTCACCCACATCTTTAGAAGATAATTGATTGAGTCGTTGTTCATATGTTATGGTAAATGTCATCATGAAAATATCAAGTAATTGTTTGTTCTAAAGATAAACAATGTTTTGAGAAAATGAAATTGTAAAATTTAAAGCAATTTCAAAGAGACTTCATTGAAATTAACTTCCAGCTAGTGATAAAATTCTACATATGTTGCCTTCCTTTTTATTTTTCAGTATTTAGACTTTTTTACTATCTTAACTTTCACATGTAAATGGAATTAACTTAAAGATATATTGATAGGCTAGCCTTATTTAAAGTATCTTTCCAATCTTCAGGTAAGTGTTTAGATTGTTAAAAGTGAAATTCAAACGGCATTTATATTGTGTCTTTACATTAAACATTTACTTTTATGTTCCCAGTAAATATTTAATTACTCTGTCAGCAAAAAACATTTTAATGTACTGTCTATCCCAGCCGAAACCAGGACATGTACTTACAAAATTATGATGTTTCCCATCTAGAAGTTTTGAATTGTAAAAACAGCAGAGAATGACTTACGTGATGGTAGCTTTTTTCCCCTGAAAAATTTCTTGTAGGAAAATACATAAAATGCATTGAAGGGGCTGTGCAAAAGTATATTCCGTGAACTTTACATTACTCTCGCAAGGCCATCATTTCAAAAGACAAGAATTTACATAATGTTTCTTAATTTCTTGAAATAATTTAATATGTTTGGTAAGAAGTTACTTATGCATGTGATTTTATGTTGGTCTTTTTGTTTCCTGTAGGTATATGTAAATAGCTATGTAGAAGGGTGTATATACACACCAGAGTGTGTCTTATTTTGAAAGAGCAGCTGTATTCCTTGATGAAAGCTACTTCACTGATACTTTATTGCAGTGTTAAGACACCTTAGAAACAGCGAGATTTTTCTATTGGTGTGTATTGTTTTCTTTGCCTCTTTAAGGTGGAAGGGTGGGCTAATCAAATACTTGCTGACAGTCCAACATCTGACTGTATGTTGATCTGACAGGAGTATCTGCTGCATCTGCGCACACTTTCACAAATTTTGTTTTTACAAGTTACCTGAAGTGTGCTCTTACTGTTTGTGATGTCCCCTGCTTCACTATAACTCCAGTCATTTCTCCATAACTTTTATCCTATAGCACTGTAACTTATGTCGGTATTCTTGCACAAGATAAATGTGTTCTTGTTATCCAAAATGTTCAGAATGACTTTATTGTTTTGAAGTTCTCTGTGGATAATACCTGGAGAGCTTCTCATACGTGCTAGTGTCCTGTTTCAGTAGAAAGGGGATATGCTTGTTCAACAGTAGCTGTTAAATATCTTGCTTGCTGTATTAACAAAAAGCATGATAAAAACAAACCTGACAATTTGAGAAGTTCTTGAAAACATTTACGTTAATATTAAGTGAAAGTCTTTTATATAAATACAGAGTCAATATTTTATACATTTAAGTATGCTGGGGAGAGACGCTGGATTCTGCTGCTGTAAGCTATTAAATGTACGCTCCTGGTTTATATTGTTACAATGAAAATTTGAATGATAGAATAACCCAAGAAAGTATTTTTTTCAAAGTCTGTGTGTTATTTCATCATTTTATCTGTTGAGAAGTACAAAGTGAGTGTAGGTTGTAAAACTTCTTGATAGGGTAAATGCTTCTTGATACAGGAATGAATCTTGTAGGGACATTTTGTTGGCATAATCAAATGGAATTTAGTTTTTTATATATATATATAATCGATATATTTATTCAATAAATATTTTTTATTTGGCATGTATCTGAGTCACTGAAAATTGTTAGTTGTTTATAATCTGGAGAAAATGTTAGTCCGTGATCTGTACCACTCCCTACCCCCTGTGTCTTCTGGCGGAGGGGACACAGCTGAAACAGGTCCTGGCTCTCTGATGCTAGTTTTTGACCACACCATAGTTCCAAGCAGGGCCTAGGGAGAAGGGCTAAACTCTGAAATCCCATGGAGAGGTCTGCTGACTCTCTGATCATTTGAACAGCCTTGGTAAATACTGGCTTGAATTATGTGCCTCTGTCAGAAGGGAGCAAAGCCTGGGGTATGAACGTGTGTTTTGTTCTTTTCAGAGAATTGGTTCTCTTGGATCTCTCTTCAGGTCAAATAATTCGTTAGTTTGTTCCCTCGTGCACGTGCTTATGTGTTAGTTTACTCCTGAGCTCACCTTTGCAGTGAAACAGGTAGTTTCTCTGGTATGTTTTCTCCTGGCTGTGTTTTCCTGAGGCAATGCAAACAAAACTGTGCCTGCTTTGGCACTTTCCACCATCTGTGGTCCTTCAGTAACCAAATCGGGAAAGTATTTCTACCTGAAGAGTCTCAAGGGCTTTTACTGAAGGGGAAAATAAAGTTCTAGCCAAGCAGCTCCCCAAAACTGAAAATGTTACCTAAATCCTTGAGCAAAATGTGCATTTTAAAATGCCAGCTTTCTCCAAAGTTTGTAGTGGAAGAGATGCCCTTTAGGCAAGGAGTAAAATTGGAAAGGCAGTTTGACGAGGTTTTTTTGAAAGGATTTAATTGTGACTGTCCTTTGTAAGGGTAAAGATGGGCTTAACCGAGTATCTTGTGTGTAGCATCCCTGAGCCTTTTCAAGTATAGTAAAATCTAAATATGAAGGTTGCTTCAGGCATCTGTCATTAGAAGCATGGTTCTGAGGATAAGTACTTTTTCGCAGATTTAAAAGCTGCAGGCATTGTGGTTTCAAATTCTTAATCTGAATTTTGCAGCTTGGATCAGAGAAATAGGAGGGAATAGAATCCGATCAGTTACAAAAGAGGAAACATTTTAAAATGGATACTGTGACCAAAGCCAAGTCTCTTAGGTTACTTCAAAGGATTTTTGTAAACTGAGACTCCAGATTGTATAGTACAATTTTGCACTGTAAAAAGCAAACGTCTAGCACGGTAGAGTTTAAAATGGGAACACCACCAGCTTCTGGAGATACTGAAAATTTTTCTGGCAAACAGAAGTTCTGAGAAACATGATGTTCCCCGGTCCTATGCCAAGACTTCATCTTGGATCTTCCTTTTGTCCTAGAATTAGCAAATGGGTCCAAAGTCCAAGCACTGTTTGTAGCTTCTGCAGCAAGGCTTTCTTACTAATTCCCTTTCTGAAATTTAGTTATTTAATAAAATATCCGGATGAAATTTTTGAGCAGTGATTAGGCTGCTAGCAGTAAAGTTCTCGCACCACTAAACTTGCATTCATTTTTATGAAATTTAGGGTGGTGTGTTCAGTTAAACTGAACTCTCACTTGCTAATAATTTGGTAATGTACTTTTTCATTTTCTTGCTTGTGTGCCAATTTCTACAACCTGGCATTTACAGGGTCTTGTTGAGATGTACTGAACTGGAAAATTTCTACTGCCCTTTTTCTAAAGAAGGCGGCACATATGTTAAGTTAATAGAACTTAAACTTGTTTATGGTCAGGCTACTTCATTGGCTTTTTGTCTTTCTTTTAGATAAATACTATGCAATATGGGAAAATTATGTTCCATATATTCTGAAGTTCCCAGTCTCCCTAAATAATGTGATACTAAACCACTTTTTCTCTTAGATAACACCAATTTGTGAATCAGATTTTTTTCTTTAGGAGATACAACAGTGGAGTCTGGGAGACAGAAAGGCTCTTAACTGATTTTGTCCCAAACGAAGCAATTATGTTTAGGAAAGTGAGGACAGGGACAGGGCTTTTGCGTGATAAATGTTACTGCCTGACAGCTCCACTGCCTGGTTTTAGTGGAAAGCACATATGAGGGAGTCTCTTTGGCTGTGCTGAGATAATGCTCTTGGCGCAGGAAACATGGTCAGCAATGTTAAGTCACATTGCTGGCTATCTGAAGAGTTAACCACTAAGTAACATTGAATGACAAATACAATCTTTTGCTTAAAATAATTTGGTGTCAGAGATGTATGAGAAGCATTAGAATACATAGTTACTATAGACTTTATTAAAGAACTATTTAATATATTTTAATTTTCTTTTACAGAGTATTAATATTAGGAGCTTCAGGAGGAGTTGGTACATTTGCTGTACAGGTAATATAAACCAGCACACCCAGGATGCATCTTCAAACTATTCAATATGAAAGAAAAAATTAACGGAAGGGAATTGAGGGAAGGAATAGTGAAATAGCAAGCTACTGATCGATCTGTCTGATCAATCTGATCGATATTTCCAAAAGTGAAATATTTTCAGATTTATTGCTTTCCATTTGTTACGTTGTATTAGTTTAAAGTAAGAAGCAGGGTCTTTCAAAGAAAGGAGTTGTGAGTGTAGGTAGTGAAAGATCGCATTTCACAGTTTGGGTGCAGGAAATCTCTAATTGGTGAAACTTGAAATATGTAGCCTGTTGTCATGTTCTCTCAGTCAGCTATGCTCCATAAATATGAAAAGAACTTGGTGTATGAGTAGAAAAACTGATGGAGAATGTATCATCTACCATAACTGTTGTAGGTGGTCAAATGACATGAGAGGCACCAGGCTTTTATGTGCAGTGTACATAAAGCACAGCGGCTTAGATTAGCTTTCCCTCACTGTTTTGCTCTGCTGCCCTTTTGTCTGTCTTCACTCCAGTAGCTCTAAACTTTGGAGAGTCAACATGCTCTTTTATTGATCCATTAATTGTGGGACATCCTCTTTTCATGCTCTCATTTAATTTGGGGATTTTGATTCTAATTGGTGTCATCTCATGCTGAAACATCTTTCTCTTGAGAATATGAAAAAAATATAGAAGTTGGGTGATTGCATCACTGCGTTCCATGTTACTAGACCATAAACATAGTGGTTTTAAAGAGCCTTACAGGAGATTTTTTAGTGGTGTGCTATTTGCCTGATCCATGATAAAGCAGGTGGCTAAATTAGATCAGTACGAAAGGCTGACCAGCCACTGACTACTTGTGATTTCTACCTGATTAATCCTGAGTAAACTACATTAATTAATCCGGAATAAATGTAAAAAAGATTACTGTGAATGAAAAATGAGATTACAAAAGAGATAAATAACTAGCAAAAATCCTTTACTTTGCTATAGCTTTTGGAGTAGAAGATATCCTGACATCCTCCCTGTGGTAAATCAGAGATGACTTCCTTCTTTTTCTTGTTATTAATATTTAAGCTATTTACAGTGAGATAGATATATGAAATACTTAATGAGCAGGTAGGAATATAAAATATTTTAATTTTAAATATTTAAAAATATTTAATGGTTGATCTGGTGACAGTTTTGTAGATTGGTTACTTGGACAATACCTCTTGGTATACATTTAGCTGACAGATTCAGATGGCAAACTGAGTATTTTATTTGAAGCCTCATTTATCCTGGGACCTGATATCTGTAAGTGGCATTAAAAACCCACCCTCCTTCCTCCACACCAACTCCTCCCTCCCCAAAACCTCCTTAAATATTGATAAATTCTAACTGTTGTTTGTCTGTGGGCTGTGTGACAAGTTATCCTGTGTTGGAACACAGTCTCCCCACTCCCTACTAAAGGTGCTCATTTATTATATAAATATAATGAGATTTTGGCTTTTTAAGTTGTTCTCAATGTTTCATTAAATTTTAAACTTTGGACTTCTTTCTTTTTATACTTGTTTTTAGCTAGTGAAGGCCTGGGGTGCTCACGTGACAGCAGTTTGTTCTCATGATGCCAGCACACTGATGAAAAAGCTTGGAGCAGATGATGTGATTGATTACAAATCTGGAAATCTGGAAGAGCAACTTAAAACATTACCCTTGTACGTGTTTGTGTTGCTTAATACTGAGATGAAGGTGTTGGTGGTCTGACGTTCTGCCTTTTGATTGCTTGACTCCAGTCTATCAGAACTTCCTCTTTTTTTTTTGTTTTTTTCCCCATTTCTAAAGCATTACTCTGTAAAGCAAATTCATCCCAGCCCTTTTTGAATGCAGTTTGCCAAGTGAGTATCCCAGGCACAGATTTCATTGTAAGGCTAAGCCAGTTAATTGGGCTTGTGGAGGCAAGCTCACTTTCACATGCTTCTCTTCAATGACTGTGATTTGAACAGTTTTGTCAGCTTCCATCCAAGGATCTCAGAGCATTTACAAAGCATGAATAAATTAAAATAAGTCTCAGAAATCCTGTGTGAGGTTAGTAAATAATAAAATTGATCTTCTAGAGGGAAAAACTACGTCGTGAAGCAGTTAAGTGGCTTGCCTGAAGGCCTTTAGCCACTGTGCAACTCAGCTGGGAGTTAATTTCTCTTCTGTAATGTTGGGTAGGGCTGCCTCTGATAAACAATCACACTTATCTTGTCAAAGCAGTTATGTTTAAATTAGCTTGGGGGCTTTCTCTGGAACTGAAGTTTTTTTTGCTTTTGTAATCTTTCCATCTGTTTAAACTTAGTCTACTGTGACTTGTATTTGAGTATGGTATTTACACTGCTCTTTTTAGCTAGATTGAGTTAACTTTCTGGGAGGGGAAATAGGAGCTGTTCAATCTATGAAGGAATCTTACTGATAACTGTGCTAAGAAGGCATGTGCCCTTTAACACGTGTGATTGTCAGCAGGCCTGAGGTCAACTGTGAGGGTACTGGCACTGTCTGTATGGGGAGGGTGTGCAGCAACTAACTTTGCAGTTTGCAAGCAGTGCTAAATTTGCCTTTCTGCAATTCAACATCTTAAGTGCTAAACACCCATTCTAGCAAGTGACCCTTTTTAGGAGCTATCGACAACACTGTCTTAGGGTGCATTTTTATGATATAGCTAAGCCGATCAGTCAGGTATACTGAGGAGGATGGTCCTACTTCCCTCCTCTTTTCAGTTGTACTGACTCTTCAGACTCCATGGTGAGCTAGTTTTTCCTGGAGCATTAGTTTTCATGATTTTAATTTCTCTTGCTGGCAGCCAACTGTTAGGTTGACTGAACTGTGACATGAAATCACATCCCTGGAAGACAGGCAGGAAGACTGTCTTTCCAGAGATAAGAACTTTTCTATTTAATTTGCATAAAGTATTTTCCCTCTTATTTGTAGTTTATTTAGATTTGATGTATGTGTGTATACATATCTATTGCAATCTGGAGATTGCTGGAAATTTACAGATGAGAATGAGCTGTGCATCTAACAGAATAGGTGCGTAGCTCCCTGTTGCCCTATTCAGCCTTTACAGACTCACATGCTGGGATTGTGAGAAGGAACGCTGAAACTGTGGCTTGTTGCCAGAGGCTGCACATACCCATTCCACGGGGGGAAGGTTTTAGACCCTCTCCATTGTTAGGTTCTACATTGAATAGGTGAATTTGAAGAAAAGAACTGTCAGTAAAGGTAAAGTGGTCCCAAAACAAATAGGGAGGTCAAAAAGGACTTTTAGAAGTGAAGCTGAGAATTGGGTCAAAAAAAAGATGTGAGGAGATAAGGGTTAGTAGAGTAATTTGTTCATGTAACTTTGGCCACTGGAACCAACTTTCGCATGAGCACAGCATGTACAGGAGATGTTCCTAGTCAGGGCGTGAGTCCAGACTAGTTTGTACATGCACATAACATATTGTTCAATGCTAGGACCAGACCTCGAGACTGTTCCAGTAGTCTCAGTGGGAGGGCTGAAGGGATAGAGCTCTAGAAGGCTTTAAGCAAATAGAGAATGTAGTTGTGCATCTAAGAGTCTACTTTTTGGAGTTCAAGAGCCGTTTAAGTTATCTAAATAGCCTGTGTCTGCTGTGCAGTGAATGGGCAATAACCTGTAAATTTAACTCCCATTGCACAGTAAAGCTGGGATTTAGCTGAAGTCGGGGGACTTTCTTGGTACTGTCGTGCAGGCAGTTGTTTTAATGCATTGCAGTGATATGTAAAAATGTAAACTACGGCCAATTTCTAATGTGAATTGGCTTAATTATGATGAAATTATATTCCCCGTGTCATGATTGTAAGCCTGTTCTTTACGTGTCTGCAGATTTGATTTCATCCTCGATAATGTTGGTGGATCCACTGAGAAGTGGGCTCTAGATCTCCTGAAGAAATGGTCAGGAGCAACATACGTTACCTTAGTGACACCTTTCTTGATCAATATGGACAAACTTGGAGTGGCTGATGGCATGTTACAAACAGGAGTCACCGTTGGTTCCAAAACTGTAAAGGTATTTGACAAAATCCTATATACTTCAATATTATGTAGTACTCTAGTGGCTTGCTTTGTGGCTTGGATGCTAGTCATGTGGCTCATCTGTCTTATTTTCCTCATGTATCATTAAGTATACTTCAGATGCATTTTTATTCTTCTTTCTCGCACTGAAAAAAAATGTGTTGGGGTGGTGCTGATTGGTGTATGTGGTAGTTTGAGGTGCTTTGAAGTTTTGATTCCTTACTGTGCTTTTCATTGTGGCCTTTTCCATATGGCCTCCCTAGCGAGTCCTGCTGACAGCTAGTGTTTCATAGTAAACAGAGCAAATCCCTGCCTCATTGAAGTGAGGGTAATTTTGCTACTTGCTTTAGGCTGGTCAGGCTTTCTCTCAAAACATTGTTCCATGACTGATTCTCTTCATCCTATTCCAGCACCAGAGAGTAATAAAAGTGGTTGAGGGTGGCTAGAAAGCCTTTCATGTCTTTCATGTTCATGTGTCTGGATGGTGATACTGATTTTTCTAGTTTTCATAAGTGGGTCTTAAAATGTTCAGCCAGTGGCTAGATCAGTGAGGCTTTTTAGAACTTTTCTTTTTCTTCCCTCAACATGTGTATTTGCTCTCCAAATGAATGCTTTTCAAGCAGTTGCCATGGTATTCCTATGATGGCATGGCTGAATGAGATTCTAAGTCCTGCACCGATACTTTCAAAGGAAAGCTCAAAAACAAAATGAAAAGGCTGGAGGAAATCATGTACTATTTTTTTCTCAGTGTGCATGTTTCTGTGATGAGGAGCGTTGTATGCCATGTATTAGAAATCATCTGGCCCTCTTATTCCTATTACGACTTACTCAGAGGAGGTGCTCTTGACCTGTGCTCGTGAGATCTTCCCAAAATGCTTTTCATGTGAGCTGCCATCTGTCATTGGACGGTGATGACTTTGGCAGATGTGATGGTGAAAAATTTAATCACTGACACTGAGGTGGAAGGTTCTAAATGTCACATTTCTGGGTTTATTTCACCCCCTTTGTGAATGTGCATAAACATATAGCACAGTTTCTCTGTTACGTAACAAATAATGCTGTTTCTAGCTGCAGAGACAAGGTGGTTGTTTTTCTCAACTAGCTGACTTGTGCAATTGGACACAAAATTCACCCTGATCCTATTGTGGTAATACAACATCCCTGTCTGTACATTTAATCCACATGCTTAGGTGACGTTTTTTTCAGACACTAGCATATAATTTCCATGTCTTTTCCTTAAGTTACTTCTCTAGTGCTTCTGTTCATCAATTGTAGTTCCCATTTCAGTTTGCTCTCATGATTTTTTAAATATATTTTGATCTTTCTTGCAGCATCTCTTTAAAGGAGTCCATTATCGGTGGGCATTTTTTGTGCCAAGTGGCCCAAGTTTGGATGAAATAGCAGAACTAGTTGATTCTGGAAAGGTATGTCAGTAACGATTATTTGGCTGTTTGTGCTGAAAGAGGTGCTGCTTTGACTCAAAAATGGTGTAGTTCACAATTAGGGAATAAAATGTTATGAGAGTCACAGTGAGGAAAACTAGTTAAGAATTGACTTGCTCCAGTTTCTAACCGCTGCCTTTTGTATGGAATTTAAGAATTTGTAATCCTTAAGACTGTTCTGCCTTCTCCCTCTCCACCCTACCTGTTTTTAAAAACACAAAGCTTACTAAGTTATGAGGAAAGAATGTCCAGCAATTGTTTATTTTTGCCAGTGGGAATCATTTAGCCTGAACTCTGGTGTTGAAAATGATGTTTTAAGAGGCCTCATTTGGTCAGAATGAACATGACTGCGTGTATCTGCATATGCAAAATTGCCTAGCCTGGATGATCCAGGAGTCCTGCGCATAATGTGCACAGAACTAGAATACTCAGGTTATTGCAGGTCATAGACGATCTGCGTTGGCAGAGTGGTGACAAGAATCTTGTGTTTCATTATTTCAGTGCTTCAGAGTATAATGTTTGTGCTAATTCAGCACAGTGACTTGGAATATTGTGAGCGTTCCTAAGCTTTCAGGGAATCTCTTAGTGGACTTGGGGGAAAGGCATGAAGCAGCAGCTAGATTACTGCTTTTCTGGTCGTCTCAGGTTTATGAGCTTGTTACAAAATGTGTGTGAGAGTGAGCAGTTATTGGACTGTGTGGTGCTCTAGGTCCTGGCAGCATCCTCTTTTGGATAATTTCATGTTGCCAAAAGTCACGGCGTAGGGGATATGGACAACTGCCGTTAATCTTTCTGTGTGGTACCTAAGCAGAAGAGGAAGCAGAGTCTGCCATGACAGCTGGCAATTCCAGTATGTGAACTGTCAGGCCATCTTGTGCTCAAAATTTGTGCATATTAGTAAAATCTAGATCTCTCAAAGTCTGAGTGTTGATCTCCTTTTTCGCTATGCATTATGTTCCAGAGTTTGGAGAAGAGTAAATAAACTGCTGTCGTACTAAAGGCCTCAGTGCTGCTGATCAGAATAAAAATCTTCCTGAATTCAGCCACTCTTATTCCTCTGTCATGACCAGTGTGCTGCTGACACAGCCAGTGGAAAGTCTGTGTTTCCTAAAAAGTTACCTACTCATGAACTGAGGCTGCAGCAGCAAATAAGCTGTGGTGGAGTGTGTTCCTGGGTACAGCTTTGCACCACTCTGCTTTGCATTATGGCCAGTGCTGTAGGCATTATCCCATGGTCAAGAAAGAAACCCTAGAAGATGCTCCTCATCCTGTGATTGCATCCAATCACACTACTAAATTATAATTGTCTAAGAAACAGAAATGCCCTTGTCTTTGTTCTTACCATTTGTCCTGATTCTCAGACAGTCACAACTTGTTTTGTGTTCTGCTCCTACCTTGTATGCAAAACAAATGCAGAATATGCCCATGAAGCCTCTTGGGAAACACCTGTTTATGCAATAGCGATAGGGCTTAATCAGTGCTCTCTGCTTAATAATCTGGACAGGTGAACTGTAATGCCATTTAAAATGTATGTCATACATATATGAATGTCCTGATGTACTTTTTGTTGTAAGATGATCATGAGGACAAAGATGTTTGCTTGGTCTTTTATTCTCTGTGCAAAAACAGGTCAGATTGTTTGTCTGCATAGTCATTGTTCTAGCAGCATTTTACTCTATCTTGTAAAATGTTGTAAACACCCATGCTATCATCAGTATTTTATAAGACCCAGATGTGTTCCATTTAGACAGATGTTAATAAGACTATGACCTTTGTTGTCTAGACGCAAGAGTTCTCTTAAATGGACAGATCATCCATTCAGAAGAGTAGGTGTTTGGAAAAAAGGCAGGAGAGAATTGCTGGAGGAAGCGTACCGTAATTTCCCCATACCTAAGTGAAAAGAAATGTTTATGTTTGAATAGGAGAGAATAAATGAGAATTTTAAAAAAAAACAAACCACAAAGCAATAAAAGTGTAGCAAGAAGACTTGGGGAAGCCAGGAAGGAGAGCTCATGTAGTTGAACTTCTTAGTTTTGAGTGAATACAGTTTTGAGTAATGCAGATTTAGTTATTTTGAAATTTCAGTGAATTGTCTTTTCTGTTACAGACATCTTAATTTTGAGATTGTAAAAGTGTGAATAGGGGAGCAACTGGAGAGCTCCTGAAAATGAGAGGCTTTTTTCAGGGAAGCTAAATCATGAGGGGGGATTTAAATGAAGGACATTAAAAAGAGCTAATGGTTTAAAGAGATGATGTTACAGTAAGTGAAGCTTTGAAGAGCATACGCCTGAAGCAGATACAGATCATACTGATTTGTCAGTGTTTTTTCTTCTGGTCTTTTTGCACCAACACAGATTTTTAGTTCTGATGATTTCATCATCTTCCTTTTGGAAAGCAAAAGGATTCTCAGTCCTTCAGTGGATGAACAATAAGCAAAAAGGGCATTTTGTTTAAAGATACTTGGTTTTCACACGGATGATCTTTGCAGCAAGGAATAGAGATTTGCAAAATGTCAGCTATGAGGAGGAGTTCTTTTAACAGCCTTTTTTAATGGGAAGGAGAAGGAGAGGATTTGATGAGCCGGTAGTGCAGGGAAGGAGAATAATTTTCCCTTTGTAATTTACCTGCGCATCAGCTCAGTTCTGGGGATTGTAAAACCATTTTCAGTTTATGAGCTGTTTTCTCTGCCTTGCGGCTGGACATCTTGCAAAGAGACTATTGTGAGACTGAGGGGCTGGGAGGCTGCTGCAACAGCAGTGGGCACAGAGAAAATCAAGTTCTTCCTTGTCAAATTTTAGAGATACTGGCTACTTTCTAAACTGCTGGGAAGTCCCTGTTGTGGGTTGAACTCTGCCAGTTCATTACGAGCCAGTAAGGACTGGCTTAACGTCGGCTCCACCAAATGAGTTGATGAAGAGCATGTCAGAAGCTGAGGATCTCTCTCCATGGCAGAATGTTCCTGGTGAATTACAAGGTTCTCGTCTAAAGACAACTGAAATCAACAGAGCCTTTAGTTCAGGACACCGATCTGCTGGCACACTGTTTGCTGAAGCATCGTCACCGGTCTCTGCTGCCAGCATCGTCACTGAAAGGCTTGCTAGGAATTAGTTTGGTATATTTGTGGTCAGTGTTGTGGATTTAACATTGACAGGCTTGATTTTTGCTGCTTGCTTAACTTTTTCCTCCATTTTAAGGATGTGCCATTTAGTCCTTGGTGAAAATATACCAAGCTCTTATAAGTACGTAAGTTTGTGGAAAGCCTCTAACTTATAATTGAGCACTTACTTTGCCTATTATAAAGCCTGATGGAGGAAGGCAGGCTCAAAAGACTCCTTAGTGTAGTAGGGGGGAGAACTAAGTATGTTGTATGTTCCTGCTGGACCATGATAGGATGTGAGTTAACATGCAGCCCTACAGAAATTTGAAATTTTCATTTTAGTTCAGTGCCATCTAAATGCAGTGCACATGTGCATGTGCAATATTTCTGGTGGCTTAATACTCTTCCCTTCAGAGCAGACTTGCATCACATGGGCTGATGGGTAACAGTTGGTTTTGCAGAAGGAAGTGTGAAGGACAGGTAGAGTCTCCAATCATGAAATTAATAGATCATTCTCTGCATTGTTTGCTTTCTAGTTAAATATTACAGCACAGGCACACAGAAGAAAACGATTGCATGCCTATATTAATGTAATTTGTGTGAAGTGTTGATTATGCATTTTGCTGAAGACACTAGATGCTTTGGATTTAGCACCTGCTGTTGTAGTTTGGAGGACAGGATGCTGACTGTTCTTTGGCCCTGCTGCTGTCTTCTTGTGCAATGCTGTACAAATCACATAACCTTTTGCTTCCATAATTTCTCTATCTACTAATGAGGGCTAATGCCCTTTATCTACCTTTGGTGATTTGCTCTAAGATTTAACACGCTGTTAAAATGTGGAATTCGGATGTTTTCTATTGCTAGTTTTTGCTATTCAGGAAGTAAACACAAATGGATATGGTCATCCGCTTTGACATTACTTGGGTTTTGAGTTGTTTGGATGGCCATGATTTAAGATGGCTTACATTCCTCCTGCAAGCATAGGTTATCACAGCTTCTTGACTTTGTATCCTAACTCGTGTGTATTGATTTGCTTCCAATTCGTCTTGTTACAGTTCTACAAGTAACTTTTTCCTTGGCCCTTGTTGCACAATTGTTGTAGATTTCTCTCATCTGTATGAATATCAAACAGCTAATGTAACATATCGAGTCCTTGAACGTTCTCCAAGTCTGGCATCCCTAGATGCGGCCTTCTCTGCAGTAATTCCAGTCTTTGTCTTGATGGCTGTGCTAAGGTATCTTAAGGTACCCGAGGTGACTCACCCTTGGGTGGTGCCAGCTTTACTTCCCCTATCTGAAAAAGGACTCTATACAATTCTGTCCTTAAATGTCTAAATTGACTAGAGGTCAGTCCTTCTTCCCACTCTCTTTAGTGACTCACACGCATTCCGACAATCAGCTTTCTCCATGCTAAATTGCAAAGCTTGCACTTTTTTTTTTTTAAATTTTGTGTTTTCTTATTGCAGTGCTTTTGCTTGCCAGGTTGGTTGGCTAGAGCCCAGAGAATGCTGATCAAGGAGAGGTTGCTGAAAGCTCTGTTCAGTCCTTTCTCTTCTAAAAGGAACGTCTATCTGCATTTTGCCATGGCCACCAAAAAAACCACTGTGATTTCTATTAAAACACATCTGCTCCTCTTCGTCCAGCACGTGGTAGCTTGCTTATGCTCTTTTATGAAGAGTGCTGTCTGTGAAGAAGACTAATAGAAATTTTGCATACTGTGGAGGGATAGGGTCTGAATATGTAAATTCACATAAACTACAATGAAGTCTGGAAAAATTTCGTCATATACCAGGTATTTAATCAAATGTGTGGCCTCAGCCTGGTGCAAATGCATATTCTGTAGAAAGTCAGTCCTAGTGTTCTGAGCTCTAGTCCCCTAGTGTAG